GGGCGGGGTGCTCGGCTGCCGCCCGGCCCGGAGCCGGCCTCGGCGTCTCCCTCATGAGCTGTCCGTGGAGAGCAGCTCCCTTCGGGCGGAGTTGTCCGAGCTGGTTTAGGTCAATGCAGCCCCACGGATGGCAGCTTCAATGACGCCTTACCCCCGGGTCAAGCACGGTCCGTGGTTTCCGACAGACGTGGTGATTTGGTGTTAGGTGCTTTGCTGCTGTAAGGAGGGTTTAGCAGACAACTGCAGGGGCCTTGGCCCGAGTGTTCCCAGCGATGACCCAGTCCGGCAAAAATTTGTGTGCACACGTATGTGCGATCCTTTAAAAACTGTACTGGTGTTGGGCATTTTCTCATTCAAGTCTAATCCCCGTGCAAAATTGTAATGCATGTGTGTACAGAATTTACAGGTTTGGGTAGAAGTTTGTCCTATCTGATGGTGGAATTTGGTTTATAGATACAAAAATTTTCTTTAGGTGGTGCTGCCCATCACACAATGAGTGCTGTTAAAACGATGACAATATTTACCCACACTGAAGCATTTTATAGTGTTTGCTGTACTTGTAACTGAAAAGTGCAAATACTTGTGGCAAATGCAAAGATTCTGACTTGTAAATGCATGTTTTCTAAAGATAATTAAGTTACAGTGTAAGCTAAAGTAACATAAGTGGTACCGAGTGCTTATTTGTTTATTAGTGTTTCTTGTTCACTGATCCCAAGTACTATTCTTGGAACTGTTCAAACAGCTGATCTACATTCAAGTTAGATATAAACAGGCTGCTAAAGCCACAGATGTACATGATTCTATAGACTTTAATAGAATATACTAGTTTAAATACATGCTTCTCAGGCAGATTTCTCCTGAATCCCAGTACATTTTGCTTTTTGCCTTTTTTTTCCCCCCCGTTTTACTGCCTCTCTTAAAACCTCGGTCGTTCCTAACAGGTACAAAGTTTTGAACCGTATTTAATTAATATGGGAGTCCACAAAAAGGCAACATCTACAGAAAGGACTGTGTGAGTTTATTTCATGCCATGCGACTCAGCATACAGCCAAGAGCTTGCAATGACAACTCTCTGTGAAGGGTTATCTTCTGAGCAGAGTGCCAGGCATACTGTTGTTGCCAACAAGTAAGTGGTAGTAATCACTGGACAGTAGTCCTTTTGGACTCTGCCACTCCTTAATCAGCTGCAGAGCTTCCTCAATGGCCATTTCTTTCCCTTCCTGGCTTATCAGCCTGATGACTGCACAAGTGGTGTAAAATACTTAGAAAAAGAAAGTTACATTGGAAGATAAGGAATAAGTAAGGGAAAACTGGTTCATGACTTACAAAACAAAAATAAAATTGATGTGTACCTCATGCAAGTTTACCTTGGCTTCAAAATTGAAGTTTAATCACACAGCTGGAATTTTAGGAGCAGGTGAGAAGCAATGAATGCTTCCTGTCTATGAAACGGCTACAGGGACCATGGCCCGCCATGTTCTCAAATTATGCCCCTTCTCCAACACATAAATATACCACAGCTTTAGTCACACTGTCTTTGTCATCCTCCTCTCCATCAGTCAGCAGGCTATGGGAACCTGTGTATGTGGAAATGAGGAGGAGGAGAACAAGAGCTGCTTGGCTGTTGCAGCTCAAATTGCCCTGTTCTGTGGTGGTCTTTCATACACATTGAGTAGGGAACATAGGGACTAACTGTGTGGAAGCTCTTATATTTGACTGTTCCAGAAAAACCAACATCTGTTCTCCCTCACCAAACCATATTTCAGAAAAGAGTAATGCTGTGCTTCGTACTTGAGTGAGATCCTGCAGGGTGAATGGAGTATTCAGAGCATCATCGTGGTACCAGTGCCAGCGTGATGCACATGCCACAGGTCTCTATACTTCAGGAGGCCTTACAGCAATAGTTTTTCAGCAATAGCTCGTAGTAAATGCTGCATATTTTATAGTCATACAAATGTTTATGGAACCCAAAGGATTTAATTTATTTTCTATATTCAGAATTGAAAATGTCTGAAGACATATGTGATGGCAACCCATCTGAAGAAAAACCTGAAGTGATGGAAATGCCCAGCAGTGAGGTATTGCCTCACAAGTCAGTACCACACCTCGTGGAAGCTGAGGTCTTGCATGAGCCTTCACAAGGTGAACATGGACCTTCACAAGATGAACATGGACAGGCCACTCAGAGTGCCAGTAATAGACAGGAAGGAGACATATTTATTAATGAAAACCCTTTGACTGAAAAAATGATTGAAAGCCTGCCTTCCAATGGAGAGGCGACTGAAGACATGCCCACCGAGTGCGATGAGACCGTAAGCCTTGATGCAGAACCTGAATCTGAAGAAACAATGCATGAACAAAGCAGTCCAGTAAGTAATACTTTCTTTTCCGTAAAAGCCCTCCCCTCCCTGCTTTGTAAGGACAGAATTTTGTACAGTGTACATACTGTTTTTCACAAAAGCCTGGGGAGTTATATACAGAAAACCTGCATGGGAATAAAATGAGTTAAATTGCAACACCAGTTTTTTGGAAACTAGGATAGTTGCATTTCTCTTTGCCAGTATGGTATTAATTTGGTCTTTCTATCCTGGTTGCAATAAAACTATACCAGACACTAAATTCTATTAACAATCTAGTCCATTTTGTTTACATATAATATGCCTGTGATTTTGTTATCTGGCTTTCTGTACAAATCTGCTTCATTCAGTTCACCGAATGAACCTAGAAGAGGACAGAATTTAAGCTGTATATGAAGCACTGAATCTTGTACTTGCTAATTTTCAAGTCACTTACTTTACAAAAGCAGTGTATGTTTCAGAAGGCATGGTGAAACAGCCAGTAGTTTTTCATCTGTGATCACAGACATTTGGGAGTCCTGTGAGTAATTGCAAGTTAATAAAACTAAGAAAAACGAGGGTTTTTTACCGTGTATACCACATCGAAATCCAGTACACATTACAGAGCTGAATATGTTCTCCTCTCCGCTGAAAAATTTTCAGGCATCCAAAAATTGGAAAAGGTTGAAACACATTGTTTTGGTCCCTCAACCAGTGATCCCCTCCACAGGGGTCTATACACAACGCAGAGCTGTCTTGGGATACTTGAGCTTTTGGGTTTGAGTTGATTGTATAGGGATATGTTACTGGAGACTTTCTTGAGACAACATTTTTTTAATATGATTTAATGTAGAATACTGATAATCGCATAATACCACATGTTAATGTGAAAGGTGGGCAGCACCTCCTCTGGCGATGTTTTTATTGAACTCAGGAGTTCCCTGTGCACATCTACGGGGTTACCCCTCTGAGGAGACTCAGGCAGAGAAGCCTCTAACTCTGGCTCCAGGTAGAACTCAGGAAGGAGGCGGGTTCCTGACTCTGCTAATAATAGCCATAATAAACTTGTATGTATGGCTTTATAGGTTCGGGTGCCTGAAGAAATATTAGGACATCTGTAAAGACATCTCTGGACTTTCAGGTGCTTTCAGGAATAGGTGATCTGAACTAAGCCTCCCATTCTGCTTTCTTGTGCACAGAAGCTTGAACTCCACATAATATCTATCCCAATCTATCATCAGTTCTTAAACACCAGACTTTGTTGCCTGACAGGCTCTTTGTGTTTCCTCCTGCCTTCGGAAAACAGTTTAGACAGTGGAGTAATATTTTTGTTCTTATAGGCCACAGACTCCTCATCTAAAGCAAGTAAATGGGGAGCTTGGGGTACCTGGGGGAAGTCTCTTCTGTCATCAGCTTCTGCCACAGTGGGTAAGTGTTCAATCAGTAAAGTATGTGGAAATAAATTGTAACTTTAATGTGTCATTAGACACATTGATATTGTGTCATAGGCAGTTTTGTCCCAACATGCTTGATTTTTTTTAATAGGAAGAAGGACCTTCCTAGACTGTCAAAGTACATAAATGGTTCTTCGGGTCAGATTGTGGACAAGGTGCCAGGCTTGTTTGTGAAGTTAGTGAATTGCCTCATGGTGGCTTCTTCACTGAAAGGATACATAATCTGATACAATTACTATCAGCCAAAGGCTTATGGTTTTTGAAGTCAAAGCAGTCCAGCCCAGATTCATGAACGTGCATGTTTGTGGCCTGTACACCATGACTTCTATCTGTACAATATGAATTCACTTCTCTTAAATCATTCCAGCTTTTATTGACACCCAGTGAAACTGTTAAGCTATCACACCAGACTTTAGAGAGTAGAACAACATATTGAAACATGGACCCTACAGTCCTTGTATTCTCATTTCCAATAATGTACAAAATGTCCTTGTGAAGACTTTAGGTAAAATATAATCATTACACATCGAAAGCTCACAGACAAAAAACGATGCATGCAAATACCTGGTTACCAGTGGGAAATCATTTCTCACAAAACAGCTACTAAGCTGTTAACTAACCAGTTCTCATAAAGGATCCACAAAACACCTTCAAAAGATGAACCTAGGAATTAAAATTAGTTGCTAGTTACTAAAAATAATGGATTCAACAGAGATACTGGTTTTATGATCCCATATAAGGCTAAATAATTCTCCATGGGCAATAAATTATTTCAATCTATTTCTCAGAGAAGGAGAGAACTCCTATCCTGTCTTTTTCTTTTCAGTGACACCCACACTCAAGAGTTAGTAACTACCTTTTCTTTCAGACAGTCCAACCAATTAACGTATCTAATTGAGCTCAGAATGGGTTTCTGAGATGTCTGCTTTCACAGACTTCCATGAGCCTTACCTCTCCTACATTCTCAGACCATCATAACAGCAGCATTCTGAAAATAATTTGGCTTAGTGTAAATAACTACAGAAGAAAATTTATGTGTGTAAAAGTAATTTTACTGTTGATCAGTTGGAATTATAATGATGATGGATTCTTCAGTTCGTTTTTATAGTTGCAGCAGTGGGTTTCTTGGAACAGAGCTCTTTCAGGTCATTCAGTTTTTGCCTGTGAGAGCGCCATATTTATATTCTGTTTAGCTTTTGCAATAAATAATATTCTATCAAATGGCCATTCTAATGTTGTTTGTGAGTAATAAGGTTATTTGTTACCAAACATTTACTGTTCTTGTAGGCTTGCAGTGGCAATCTCACTTACAGTGAAAAATTATACTTGGAAATCTTGGCCTCACTGAGCAATCAGTTTGGTGTTACAAAGCATATACATTTTCTGTGGGGCAGTATGGCCATAGATATTTTTTTGCTGGCATGAGCTTGCCTGAAAATGGTGAATGCAGTTGGAAAAAGTTTGGGAGACAAACAAGAATGTGTGTTTTATCCCTTCTTATTGTCAAAGTAAACAAGACATACCTTTTTACAGCTGCTTGTTGCTTTTGTCTATAAAACCTGCTGCCAGCATCATATCTCTGTGGATTTCCATGGACTTTTTAATGGCGTGATCTCAATTTTATATAGGCCATATAACATCTTGGTTCGCAAACATTAAAGATTCATTCTTAATTGATACTGGCTTCTTAACATACCATCTGACAGCACCAGCATCATAACTATCTTCACAGAGTGTAAATACGAGAGTAAGTTTGGTGTCTAGGCAGCCTGACTTGATAAGGTTATGTGAAGTTGTCTATTTTGAATAAGCGTATCTTCACCATGTATATATATTTTTAGAATTATTGTTACTTAAAAATGAGCACAATTGGAACAGGCCAAGTTGCCTAAGCAAAGGAGCATTCACATGCAGAAAAGGAAAAAGAAAATTTTAAATTAATTTTAATTTTACATGAGAATGGTTGCACTGTGTCACACTGAAGACCCAGTACTATCTGATTTATGGCAGTGACCAAGAGCAACTGGGAAAGAGCCTAAAACCAGATGTATGTAAAGCAGCACTTCACCTGTTTTCTCTTCCCATTTCCTGGAATCTAGAACTTAGACAGACTTTCTGACCCTGAGATCAGGGTAGGGATGAGTTCCTATATTACTATCTAATAATTTTGGATCTAACTTTTCTCTGTGAATTTATTGAATAGAATAGACTTTGAATTGAGCAAAAATCAAATGTACATTCTTCCACGTTCACTGAAGCTAAGGTAACTTGGAAGACCACGTAGGTAATCTTAGATTTGTTCCAGGAAATCAGTGCAGCAGGTAATAGTTTATACTCCTGATACAGAGGGCTTGTATCCTAGTTGTTTGTTATGGAAATTCATGCTTGATCCTGTGAAGTATTTACTGTCTGTCGCTGTCATAGACAGGGACTGCATATACCATATATCTGTTTCAGTATGGTAATTCCTAGTGAGAGACAGAGAAAAAAAATAAAGCTATTGGGAATTTCTATAAGCTTTCTTCTTTGTATTAAACATTTATTACTCCCCTTCAAGTAATTTCATTTAATATTTGAGCAGTTCAACCAATGCTCCATCTCCTGTTCTACATCAGAAAATAGGTTTGCCATGATCCAGTCCGTTTTAGTGCTGTTTATTCCTTCAGGGTAACAAATGGTATAAGTAAAGCTGCTTTCTTGGAATTAGACTTATCAGGAACACCTTCAGTATGTGATTTTTTTCTGTTGCTCTGTGGTTACCTTTGTACAACACAGCTGCTTGTCTGGTTAAGTATGATAAATGTTCATTATTCCTTATATTTTGCTTCAAAATTGTACTCTGTAAAAATTGCAAAAACAGTTTGAGGTGGACTAGATAACATCTTAAAGGCCTAAATGAATATATTCAGCTTTTAACAAATGTTATCACAGAACAGCCCAGGTTTGAAGGGAGCTCGAAAGATCATCTAGTCCAGGCTTTTGCAGGAAAGGGCGCCTAGATGAGATTATCACCAGTCATGTCTTGAAAACCCCCAGCAATGAGGACTCTGTCACGTCGCTGGCGAGGTTGTTCAAGTGAATGATAGTTCTTACTGTAAAAAATTTCTTTCTTACATTCCTTTCTCTTCGAGGCTGACATTAAATGGTTGTTCCAAGGATCTCTGTTTCATTATCCTTCAAACACTGATTTGGAGCTCCCAAACAGATTAGCATTTTTACTGCATGGCTCTAATTTGTTTAGCATGGCTGATTTTAGTTTCTAATAATAAAGTAGTTTCCATGTAATTTGTATCTCATCTGTTTAACTAACTCTGCACCTGTAGGCAGTGATTGTTTTGGTGATGGTTTTGTATTCTAAAGAAAATGTATGTTTTCTTTGAACTGATTTTGACATTATTTAGATCAAGGTCCCCGCCACAAGGCAGATGTGATACTCTTCTACACAACAGAATCTCTAATGCCTTTGCATTAGCAGCAGTCACTGCCTGAACCACGCTTAGTGTCTGACACTAGATGTCACACTAAGAAAGTTATTGGATCTCCCTCAATAATGAGGTGAAGAGTTTTCTTTTGTTTTTAAAAGGTGCGAGAATTTTGGTTTCCCCCCTTGTGGAACTACAGTGGAGCAGATTCACTGGAATAGTTGCTGGGATGATGAGATCGGAGAAGTAAGCCCACTGTGATCTGGAGACACAACTCGTCCTATTTACTGTCACCACTTTACCCTCTTTCTTTTACACTGGATTTTTTCGCAAATCAGCAATCACACCATCCAGTCTTCTAGTAACAGTGTTGATAAAACTCTGCCCTAACAGTCAGTTGCTGTTGCAGCTAAGTCAATGCAATGGCTAACAGGCACTGAACTGTGTGGTCCTGCACCTCCCTTTTCCTTGCATGTTTCTTCCTCCTCCCTGTGCCAGCAATCAGGCTCCTCTGAGCTTCCAGTAATCCAGTTCAGGAAGCTGAAGTGACATAAGAATAACTCTAGAGGAAAGAAAAGTCTGCCTCTTCAGTTCCTTGAACCGACTCACTGAGGTAAATGCCAGGACAAGCAGAAGGGACAAATGTGGTACATGGAAGCAGCAGAACCTCCCATACCAGCACCAAGGAACCATTAGGTCGGCTTAGCTGTAATGGCAAACCTTTTATCCCCAGGGCTTAAGTGAGGCAAAATATATTCTTGGTCTGTAGTTGAAGTTTGTGACTTCCAGTTTTAAATTAAAACAGCTTGCACGCTTGAAAACTTGTCTGTTCGGAGTTTTTTCCAAGTAAGCGATCTGCTAGCTTAATGAACATGGCTACCTTCTCCTACAAGCCTTGCCTTTCCTATGCTGTATTGCTTTGTATGGATAAGTTATGGCATTCATAAGGTGCTTAAGTTATGGTGCTGAACAAGCTGTATCTCCAAGCCAAGTCTGTTATCTGTTGTGCTGTATGCGTGTGCTTCACTCCATCTAAGTCTGGGTATTTTTTACCTCTAGTGCCATTGGTGAGACTAACATCTCTCAATACCTCTTACACAATAAAGTAATAAAAAATAGAACCCAGCTATTTTAATTTACATGGTCTCTGAAATTCATACTATAAGGCTGCTTAATGCATCTCTCATGCATTGGTTGTAATTAATATTCTGCTATCCTGTTTATTTTGTGCTTGTGTATATTCCTCATCTAGTTCTTCACCTAGTAGAAAGGCACACGGAAATATCAGACACCCATAGTTCCCCCTTGTATGCTGAAAACCTTTTCTTGTCACCCAGTGTAACAGAATGAAATGTCACTTGTGATATCACTGTGTTCATGAGCTTGGATATCATTATGCATGAGTATGTGTAATAATGAGCATTGCATAGCTTAAATTGAAGCCTGTGTGGAACGGAAATGCAAATGCTTCAGAGAATGTGAAACTAAAGTATTGAAATTATATGAATATCTTTTCCATTCTCTAGAGATACTATTCCCCTGTTGTGAAATA